GTGCGAGGGCTTTCTCTAGTTGTGGCAAGCGGGGGCCACTCTTCATCACGGTGCGTGGGCCTCTCACTATCGCGGCCTCTCTTGTTGCGGAGCACAGGCTCCAGACATGCAGGCTCAGTAGTTGTGGCTCACGGGCCTAGTTGCTCTGCAGCGTGTGGGATCTTCCCAGACCAGGGCTCGAACCCGAGTCCCCTGCATTAGCAGGCAGATTCTCAAGCACTGCACCACCAGGGAAGCCCTCTTTTCAGGCTTTGCTTTCTGGGCCTGTCCCTTAAATGTTGAGGTTCGTTGGGGCACAGTCACAGGCTCTTCTTTCTCATCTTGTGCCCTCTCTGGGTGATGTCATCCACTTCCATGCCTTCAGGTACCATCTCTACACCAACTCCCAAATCCATATCTCCAGGCCAGACCTCTTTCCTAGGCTCCAGCTTGTCTTTCCACCTGCCAGCTGGACCTCTCAAATGTCCCATAGGCACCTCAGATTCCTCTTACTAAACACTGAGCCTGTCACCCTCCCATCCAAACTGCTTGTCTTTCAGAGTTTTCAAGCCAGAAAACTAGGAATCATCTCTAATTCTTTCTTCTCCCTCTACTCTTCATATCTAACCAACTGGTCACCAAGTTCTATTGATTCCTCCCTATAAAATCCACTTCTGTCAACCTCCCCTTAGCCACTCCCCTAATCAAGGCCACCGTCATCTCTCCTCTACGATATCATGGCAGTCTCTTAACTTTCTGCTCATGATACCCCTCAACTGTTTCCCACTGTGCAGTCAAAAATTTACTCTTTTTGCTCTCTCACTCTATACTTAAACCCTCTTCACCTCCCCACCCTGCTCCTTTGCTCTTTGGATAAAGCCTTAATCCCCTAGCAGGGAAGGGTAAAGTCTCAACTCCTCGATAAGGCCAACAAAGATTTGTATGATCTAGCTCCTGCCTACCACTGCATCTCATTTCTTAGTCCTCCCCTGTCACAGTGTTTGATTCAGTCTCCTGATGCAGAAGGCACCATTCTCTCTTTAACTCTTACCCATCCTGGAGCTCTTGAATGGCCCTTTCTTCAGGAGGACTCTCTGGACCTCCAGCCTTCTGTACATCCTTCCCTCGCCCCAGATCTAGGTTAGGTGACTCTCAGCAGTCTGTGCTTCCCTGTCATAGCCCTCACCATGTTGCACTACATTAATTGATTTATTAGATTG